GTTATTAGAGTTGAATAAATTATTGAATATTTGTTTGGTATATTTTTCTATAAAGGATTTAGTAATTTATTATTATAAGTTATAATAATATTACATTCGATTGGTAATTTCGTAACTACTAAATTAAAAATAATTTTTCTATATTAATTTCAAGTACTAATCCAACTGTTTAAAAACAACACACACACAAATATATATATATATATATATATATATATATATACAGTTGAATACTTATTTTGATTGATACATGACACATTTTGGAAACTCTAGAATTGCTTCATTTTGACACAGTAGATTGACAAGCCAATCAAATTGTTCTATGTTGACACTTTGGGTGGGTATTTATTGTTCAATCTATAATTATTAATTAATTAAAAAAATAAAATATGTAATAATAATAATAATACTCATGTAATGCATTGACATTCTAAAGATGTATATTAATAATAAGTATACAGGTGTATTGGATTGCTATTACTAATTTTGGTTGAATGATATCTGTCTATGGTTGCTATTAATAAACATTTAAGATGTATTAATAACAATTATAAAAGTGCATTGGATTGGCATAATGGCATTCCAAATATCTAAACAAAAAGATAAATCCGTGAGATATTGATTGCTGCATTTCCAATTGTCAGATACAAAGATTCATTCAAAAGGTATTAATTGCTGTAATCAAAACATACGTATTCATTCATCCAAAAGTTATTAATTGCCGCATTGCTTATGAAAGGTCTAATCAAAACATACATATTCATCCAAAGGAGCTGCAGAAAAAAACTCCCATACAAAAAACATGCATTCATTTGGGTACATATTCATCCTCATCCAAAGGAGCTGCAGCAAAAACTCCAATACAAAAAAATGCATTCATTTGGGTACAAAGCCAACGCTCTGTTAACTTTCACTGTCACCATTGTCGCCTTAACGTGCGCCATCACTTCTCTTTTTGACAACCTTAACACTCCTTCTCTGACTGCTTTAATCCAAGTCAATTTTACAAGTGTCTTTTATCTGATTCGTGTTAGGATTAAGAGAAACTAGTTGTGTTTTTGTGATTTTGACTGATTTTTGCTTCTGGGTTTGTGTTTTTTGTGATTGTAGGTATTGAATATTAATTGGTTTCAGAAGTAGTCGCACGGAAACGATGAGGTAATTTTTCAATTTTTGTGATTTTTAGTATTAGTTGTTGTTATGCCGGAAAAAGTAGGGTTAACATAGAGTCTCATCAGTAAAGGATGGTCAGAGTTCAGAAGGGTTCTGCGCCGTCCAGGTGCGGCCACGTCACTCCTAGCGTAAGTGGCAAGGCTCCTATCAGTGCAGCAGGTGAGTGCCAGACCAGCAAGCGGTTGGAGATCGCCCACGTGTCAAAGCCCTTCTTTAATCGAGGAAATCCCTCGGGCAAGTGATCAATGGGATGCAAAGAAATGATTTACACGACACCTACCCACTTGCAGCTTTCATAATCATTACCTTGAACTTTCCCACTATAAATAGAGGACTTCCCTCTCATTTGAGAAGATTTAGCTGATTTTACGCTGAAATAGATCTCTCTCTCTCTCTAAACTGTAACTCAGCTCGCTGAACGTGATCTGATCACTCTCTTTTATTAATACAATAGCAGTGGACGTAGGATTTGCTTTAGAGCATTCGAACCACTTTAAATATTGCTCTTCACCTTTTATTTGATTCAATCCCCTTATATCATGTGTGACTTCTAAGTCATTTTAGCATTTTACACTTGCGAATAGTTGGTGTCAAAATCAAACATGAACAGTTGTTTTCTTTGATGGGTTGCTGTTAGATTTTTGAAAGTTTTGGGCTTCATTTGGTTCACAATTGAGTGTTTTTGGGAAAAGTTTTCTGAAAAAAGTTAAAAAAAAGTTGAATTGGGCGGGTATTACGATGTAGAATTTATAAATTAATAAAATACCCCCTATATTTGTTTATTTACAAAACACCCCCTATAATAAAATCTTAAAAGTTAACAAAAACACCCCCAACTCAATGTCAAATACGGACAGCCGGCCACCACCGCCGGAGGGTGGCCGGGTTCACCGTATTGGCGCATGACCGGCTGGATCTTGCCGGTCGTGCGCCGATATGGCTTTTGCCGGCCAGATCCACGGTGGATCTGGCCGACAAAGGCCAGATCTACGGCCAGATCTGGCCGTATTTGCTTGTCAACGACGACCAACAAACGGTCGTCGTTGATGGTCAACGACGACCGTTTGTTGGCCGTCGTTATAAACTGTTACGACCAAAGATCTGGCCATCAACGGCCAGATCTTTGGCCTTAGATCTGGCCTTTTCCGGCCAGATCCACCGTGGATCTGACCGGAAAAGGCTATATCGGCGAACTACCGGCCAAATTCAGCCGGTAGTGCGCCATCCTAACAGATTCCGGCCATTTTCAGGCAGTGGTGGCCGGAATCTGGTAAATATGAATTACTGGGGTGTTTTTGTAATTTTTAAAAAAATATTTAGGGGTATTTAATTAAATTATCAAATTTAAGGGGTTTAAAAAAGTTAAATAATATTGGGAGTAGTATTCCCAAAAATTAATGCTCCGTTTGGTTCATAATTTTGTGTTTTTGGGAAAAGTTTTTTGAAAAAATTTAAAAAAAAAGTTGAATTGGGCGGGTATTACGATGTAAGATTTACAAATTCTAAAATACCCCCTATGTTTGTTTTTTTACAAAACACCCCTTATAATAAAACATTAAAAGTTAACAAAAATACCCCCAATCCACCCTCAAATACGGACAGCCGGCCACCACCGCCGGAGGGTGGCCGGAGTCGCCGTAACAAAAACATTAAAAATATTTAGGGGTATTTAATTTAATTAACAAATTTAGGGGGTTTAAAAAATGTTGAATAAAGTTGAATAATATTGTGAGTTTTGGGGTATTTTACTGTTTAACTTTTTTGGGAATACTAAAAGTAGTATTCCCAAAATCCAACCAAATGAAGCCCAAAGTTTTTGGGTATTTTACTGTTTAACTTTTTTGGGAATACTAAAAGTAATATTCTAAAAATTGAAACAAACATAGCCTTGATTTTTTTTTTTTTAAAACCTTTTGGGTTCTAGGTATTTGAAACATTAGTTTTTATTTTTATTTTATTTTTGCAGCTTAATGTCTGAATTTTATTATTTTGAAGGTAACTGAGATGTTTTCAAATGACCTAAAATGACATTTTGATATTGCAGTAAGTGTCTAGAATTAAGAAAGAACATCTAGATGATGATTCTGCAGTAACGAATGAAAGGGATGATAAGAGGGTTTACAAATAATGGATTGTTTGAAAAACCTATGGAGTTTTATCGTAGAATGGAAATTCAAGGGTTTAGAGCTGATAATTTTACATATCCATTTGTGGTTAAAGCGTGCGGCGGTTACTGATCTCTGGACCTGAATATATATTCTGAGATTCCTTGAATTATATTCAGTATAACTTATACTGTAAATTTTTTGTTGGAATTTTTAACTTCACTTCCATGCCTTATGATTTCTTAACTTAAAATTATAAGCAGGGGCTCAGTGTAAGCACAGCAGTATTTGATGGAGTGAAGCATCTGATTGCATTTGGTGGCTACAAGGGGAAATATAATAATGAGGTATGTTGTATTATATAACTATTTGTATCTGTGCTTTTTCAGAGGTAATATTTTTTTTTTATTTTCTTTTTTTTTTATATGACATAGGATTATTCTGAAAGCCTTTAGTCGTTTCTATTTGTTGTCAAGTTGTACCATATGTTTCTAGCTTAAAGCTAAGCTCAAGTTCATGAAGATGTATGTGCTGAATTGTTGTCTTATGGTTAATTTTTTTTTCCCTTTATGATTAGTACTGTTAATCTAATTTTCAGTTGGTCTGTGAATGCAGTATCTTCGCTGTTTGTTATGGTAGTTCTATGTATCTTAATCATTTTGGGGATTTTGATGGATTAGTATTTATGAACGCATAATTAGGCTCATGATGCATCACATCTGATGTTTATTTCAATCTGTACAGGGGATACTCATCTTCTACTGACTGGGAGAGTGGAGAAAATCCTTCGTATTCTTGATTTGAATCATCCAGATGCACCTCCAAGAGAAGTGGATAGATCTCCTGGTTCAGTCAGAACTGTTGCATGGCTCCATAGTGATCAGATAATGTTAAGCTCTTGCTCTGACATGGGCCGTGTCAGGTATGCCTGTTTCTCCTGAATCATACTTATGTTGTTGCATGGAAAGTAAATTTGTTTGATATCTTGGCTTTTTTTTTTTTCTTGTTTAATAACCGTAATGTGATAGTTTATCATGAAATTTCTGGGTGCTCTTCTAAGTATAAACTAATGCAAGCTGTAGATAGAATAAGCTAAAGACATGGGTCCAATTACCAAGCTGCGTTGCACTTGCAGAGGTTTGGGGATCAAATCTTAGAAAATAAGGTTAAAATTTTATGTCGTAGGGACTAGGGATTTTAGTATTCTTTTGGCTCAAGGAAAGAGAGATTTAAAAAAAATGTTAATTGCTTCATATATTCTCCTGATGTTTGATTACTTGCTGTTACTTGACAGAAAAATTGTTGGGCTAGCTATTCAATTAAATTAGATTATAATATTTTATACATGTTTTCTCCTAAAGTTGAAGTTGAAAATAGTTCTTGGGCTGGATGGGATTTTCTATTTTTTCAATCATTACTAAAATTATTAGTGGTTGTACAGGTTATGGGATGTAAGAAGTGGTAAGATAGTCCAAATACTCGGGACCAAGTCATCTGTGACCAGTGCTGAAGTGAGTCAAGATGGTCATTATATCACAACTGCTGATGGGTCAATATTTAAGTTCTGGGATGCAAACCAGTAAGTTTTATGCCTTGGCCAAATCTGAATCTTGAAATCTAATGAAATGGGAACTATCTTTCTGAACAAGATGTTACAGTTGATATTGAGGCAATCAAAGAAGAGAAAAGAATTTTGGAATTGTCTCTAGCAGAAGCCCGAGACAAAAATTCTAGGCTTAAGAGAAAAGGTCGATGAAGTAAACAATACTCATGGTGAATTGTCCAAGGTCTGCTCTTGATGACACAATTACTTTTTGTTCACTGAGTATATGAATATTCTTAGTAAAGTTTGAGTGTTTATCATCTGAAATATTCATCATCCACTCCGCTGTTCGCTTGCAGGAACTCCAATCTGTCCAAGGTCAACTGGTAACCGAGAGATCAAGAATCTTTAAATTGGAGGTACATCCTTCAAATTTTATAACTTATTGAAAAATCACTGTTCATTGCCTTTTTGATACCAATTGCTTCCACAACTAGGCACCGATCTTTATAGTTTGAACTTCATACAAGGCCTAATTGTTCAAATACTGATATGATATTAATGACCAATTGAGATTGTAGAAGTCTGATTCTTTGGTTTTTCATGGCAGCCAAAGTGGAATGATGCACTTCTTGAGATGTTTACAATCAATTACATCGGTACTTCTCCATACATCACCTGTTTGCCTTCGCTCTATCATCATCAAGTCAGCCCAAGGGACAAGTTCTTGATATTGTCTTCAGATGGACTCTATCAATACTTCACCTATGAAGAAGCTGTATCCGAAGTTGAGTTATTGATCGCTGCATTTCCCAAAGGAGATCCTGCACAACATCTCATAAAGCTGGTAAGAATCTGAACTAGATGAGAAAATAAAACAAAACAAACTGATCATACATTGTGAGACAAAGTCAATCTAATGAATTTGGTTTTGTTAACAATGCAGGTATTGACTTCCATGAGTTGTTTGATATCCCACAAGTAAGAATGGTCTCATTCTGAATGACCAATATCTGATTTTCTGGCAGAAAGATGTGGTTCGTTCTGAACCATGAAAAGGTTAGAAATGTGTTGATGACACAAAATAGTTAGACCAAGGTGCTAGAAATGATTATAGTAGCAATTTTTGCTATGGTGGTTTTGGCTTCTTATTATGTTGCCGGTTATTGTAAAGTTTTTTATGTTTACATCTGCAGCAAGTTCATGTAACACTTACACCAAAACCTTCTCTGGGGTTGATGGAGCTAGAAAGCGATTAGCAGATGGAGTGAGTCTTGATATGTGTTCCATTTATACGTATATGACCTGCATCTTTATAGGGAATTACATGTGTATCAAAATTGATGATCTTTCTTCCTTAATAATCTGGGAACAGGGCAAACACCATCACACTCAGCAGATTTATAAGTTTTAATCTGTTTACTGTGTGAAATTGATAGATTTTATGTGGATGGTAGTTAAAGATGATGCCAATCAATTTTGAAATGACAATGTGATCATTTACTGATTACTTTTTGTTTTAATCGTTGAAGTACGATGAATGCAAGCTGAATGTTGTCTTTGGTTTCAGGGTAAGCACCTGAGAACAAACAGTTGTGGCAGCCTGAGAGTTGGCTATAAATGAATTGAGCTGATATATTATACTCTTAATTTGGATAACTGTAGCCCCACTGCCGAACCATTCATTTTATCATCACACACATTTTGGCTTCCATTGAACAGTCAATAGTAAATAGACCATAACTTGCTCAATAAACATCTAATTGATGAGAGGTTTGAATATTTAGAACTAGACAGAAAAAAAATTAAATTGATATATTATACGCTTAATTTGGATAATTGTAGCCCCACTGCCGAACCATTTCTTGTATCATCACACACATTTTGGTTTCCCCTGTTTCTCGATTTCTACTGAATAGTCAGTAGTAAATTAGTCATAAATTGCTCAATAAAAATCCAATTGATGAGCGGTTTGAATCTTTGAAAACTAGACAGACAGGGCTTTAATTAGATATATTATACGCTTAAGTTGGATAACTATAGCCCCATTGCCAAAGCATTCCTTTTATCATCACACACATTTCAGTTTCCATTGAACAGTCAGTAGTAAATTGACTGTAACTTGCTCAATAAAAATTCAATTGATGAGAGGTTTGAATATTTAGAAACTATATAGACAGGCTTTAATTTGATATATTATACGCTTAATTTTGATAACTGTAGCGTCACTGCCGAACCATTCCTTTTATCATCACATATTTCAGTTTCCACTGAACAGTCAGTAGTAAATTGATCATAACTTGCTCAATAAAACTCCAATTGATGAGAGGTTTGAATCTTTATAAACTAGACAGTCAGGGCTTTAATTAGATATATTGTATGCTTAATTTGGATAAATGTAGCCCTACTTCGGAACCATTCCTTTTATCATCACACACATTTTAATCAATAATAAATTGGCCATAACTTACTCAATAAAAATCCAATTGATGAGCAGTTTGAATCTTTGGAAACTAGAAAGATAGAGCTTTAATTTGATATATTATACAATGAATTTGGATAACTATAGATCTACTACCGAACCATTTATTTTATCATCACACACATAAAATCAAATTTAATTTTAGTGATGACAAATGAAAACAAATATTGATATGTAGTTTTAATTGTATTTACTCTATCTCTTTTTGTTGATATTTTTTTATGTTACATGCATATATCAAAAATAGATTGTTATTGAATATAACCAATTTTATTTGTATCACAAATATCATATGATGTTTGTTGCCGAACCATGTAGCTTTACTAAATCATTTGTAATATGCCGAATCATTATTATTATTCTTAAAGGAAAACAAATATTGATATGCAGTTTTAATTATAATTGTTCTGTCTTTTTTTGTTTATATATTTTTATGTTACATATATATGTCATGAAAAAAAGTTGTTGTTGAATATAGTTAATTTTATTTATTTAACAAATATCAACTGATGTTTGATGTCGAACCATGTAGCTTTAGTAAACCATTCATTTTATCATTACACATTTAGGTTTTCATTGAACAATCAATAGTAAATTGGCCATAACTTACTCAATAAAACTTTAATTGATGAGAAGTTTGAATATTTAGAAGACATATTCAACACATTATTTATCAGATATGCTATCGGATTATGTGACTAATAAACCAATTCAAATTGATTAATAATATTGAAAAAATTATGATCAATTTACTACTGATTGGTTTAACGGTTATTTAGTTGTTATTTATTACACTAATTTTTTGATATATTATACGCTTAATTTGGATAACTGTAGCCCCACTACCGAACAATTCCTTTTATCATCACACACATTTCGGTTTCCCCTGTTTCTCAATTTTCACTAAACAATCAGTAGTAAATTAGCCATAACTTGTTCAATAAAAATCTAATTGATGAGCGGTTTAAATCTTTGGAAACTAGAAAGATATGGTTTTAATTTGATATATTATATGCTTAATTTGGATAACTGTAGCCCCATTGCCAAACATTTCTTTTTATCATCACATATTTCGGTTTTCATTGAACAGTCAGTAGTAAATTTACCATAACTTGCTCAATAAAACTCCAATTGATGAGAAGTTTGAATCTTTATAAACTAGACAAATAGAGCTTTAATTTTATATATATATATACGCTTAATTTGGATAAATGTAGCCCTACTTCCAAATCATTCATTTATTATCACACACATTTTAGTTTCCCCTGTTTCCCGATTTTCACTGAACAATCCGTAGTAAATTAACCATAACTTACTCAATAAAAATTCAATTGATGAGCGGTTTGAATCTTTGAAAACTAGAAATATAGAGCTTTAATTTGATATATTATATAATGAATTTGGATAACTATAGACCTACGGTCAAACCATTCATTTTATCATCATACACATAAAACCAATTCAATTTTAGTGATGACAAAAGAAAACAAATATTGATATATAGTTTTAATTGTATTTGTTCTATCTCTTTTTGTTGATATTTTTTTATGTTACATCCATATATCGAAAACATGTTGTTGTTAAATATAACCAATTTTATTTGTATCAAAAATATCATCTGTTGTTTGTTGAAAAACCCTGTAGCTTTAGTAAACCAATTGTAATATGCTGAACCATTATTATTATCCTTAAAGAAAAACAAATATTGATATTAATTGTAATTGTTCTATCTCTTTTTGTTGATACATTTTTATGTTACATACATATATCATGAAAAGAGGTTGTTATCGAATATAACTAATTTTATTTATTTAACAAATATCAACTGATGTTTGATGCTGAATCATATAGCTTTAGTAGACAATTCATTTTATCATCACACACATTTAAGTTTCCATTGAACAATCAGTAATAAATTGACCATAACTTGCTCAGTAAGACTCCAATTGATGAGAGATTTGAACCTTTAGAAACTAGACAGATATGATTTTAATTTGATATATTATATGCTTAATTTGGATAACAGTAGCCCCACTGTTGAACCATTCATTTTATCATCACATACATTTTAGTTTCCACTAAACAATCAGTAGTAAATTAACCATAACTTTCTCAATAAAAAATTAATTGATGAGAGGTTTGAATATTTAGAAACTAGACAGATAGGGCTTTAATTTGATATATTATATGCTTAATTTGGATAACTGTAGCTCCAATGCCAAACCATTTTTTTTAATCATCACACACATTTCGGTTTCCACTTAACAGTTAGTAGTAAATTGGTCATAACTTGCTCAATAAAAATCCAATTGATGAGAGGTTTAAATATTTCAAAACTAGACAGACATGGCTTTAATATTTGATACATTATATGCTTAATTTGGATAACTGTAGCCCCACTGTCGAACCATTCTTTTTATCATCATACACATTTTGGTTTTCCATGTTTCTTGATTTCCACTGAACAATCAGTAGTAAATTAGCAATAATTTACTCAATAAAAATCCAATTGATGAGCGGTTTGAATCGTTGGAAGCTAGAAAGATAGGGCTTTAATTTGATATATTATACAATGAATTTGAATAACTATAGACTTGCTACCGAACCATTCATTTTATCATCACATCCATAAAACAAATTCAATTTTAGTGATGACAAATAAAATTAAATATTGATATATAGTTTTAATTGTATTTATTCTATCTATTTTTGTTGATTTTTGGATTGATTTTTTTTTTTATTATTTGTGAGTTTTACAATTGTCGTCTTTCTTTAGGATACTATCATAAAATATTTTTTTAACTATAGGTGGTGGTCAATTATAATTGCAACAAATGGATTTGTGTCACTAGGCCTTTATTTTCATGACTTCTTCAATACTTCAATTTAGTTACCTTCAAATTATACTGTTGGAGTTATTGTTGCTTTCTATGTGAGTTCTCTTCTCAATATTTTTATTTGTTTTTAATTTCTAAAATAATAATAATAATAATAATTCATTTTCTCTTTTCAACAATCAAAATCAATTTTTTCTATTAGCTCTGCACGTCTCTTACTTAAAAATTCACATTTTTCAACAAGGTTTTTCTTTCTCTGATTGATTTATAGACTTATCAATAATACACAGTAGATTATCCTGAATTTTTTTTTTTGCTTTTCTTGACAAAGTTTAAAACTTCTGTTGTAGATGTCAAATGATGACATATTTGAGAAGAGCCATGATAATAGACTTTGAGTTCAATTTGTGGATATTTTATTTATTGATTTTTTAATTATCAATTCAATATAAATTGAATTTCAATATAGAAAATATATATTTAAAACACACAAAAAAAAACCAATGATAGTGTAAAAAAATTATAATAAACATACCCACGCAACGCAACTTGAAAATGAATATAAATTGCAGAAATTGCGGAAGGTCGGTATAAATTTTAAGTTTAAATAGTTGATCTTGATAATATTGAGGTGATATTAAATATCATACACGATTCACTACAAAATACTTACATCGAATATCAAAAATATGTCTGCACAAATAATATCAATTGTACAAGGTGATGATCCTGAAAATATAATTAGACCATATAATATTCATATGATCTTCTCAAGTTGGATAAATAATTTAATGACATCTACCTTTGTATATATATACAAATTATATTTATAATAAAATTTGTATAATTTAACAATTATTATATCTTAATCTAATTAGTTTATTTTGTTAGAATAAATTTGTTTACAATCTATTTAAAAAACATTGAATAAACATACACGCGCAACGCACGGGCCCCATGTCTAGTTAATACATATATGACAAAGC